AAATGTTAAGGGAACCACCCTGTAAATATGCAAGAACTATAGGGGTTATAGAGGTGGTGTGTGACTTTTCGATCATCCTGTATACTTACATTGATTGGTTCCGAAATTCTCCCGAGGTTCTCCCCACAACTACGGAAGTGTAATCGTGGGAACCTGTTTTAAGTGGTCGAAACATCAGAGAGTAACATATTTTTTCTCTGCTAAATGGGGGTGCAGGGCATAGATTCTCCTCAAACATTAACTGAACTACATTTTACTCTGAGGAACCACTATTTCTGGTTAATTTATGTCGGCACTTATCTACGGAAGGAAACTAGTGCCACATCATGTTGTCTCTTTAAAATTCTCTCTTCTCGAGCTAGAAATAGTGGTTCCTCATTACAGAATGTTGTCTATCTGTACTCTGTAACCTGGCTCTCCGTACAAAGGGACTCAACTGACAAATTAAGTTTTTTTCGGAAGTTAGGCAACTACGTCGCCGCGTCCCCCGTGAAATACCGGGCGAAAAATTCGCGGGATGAAATTCCTGGAGGGTCCGCGGGTCGCGGCGATGAGAGGCGCACTTGTTGACGCCGATGACCCTTCGGAGCCCCCTCCCCCCAATCTAGCCCCCTGCCACCCTCCCGAGGCCCAAATGACACCTGTTTTTTGGCGCGCGTCGCGGCGGTCCCAGCCAAGCCAAGTGACTCGGCACCCCGATAAATTAATGGCACGCCAATAATTCACTCGGATGAGCCGCCAACGTGCCTTCGATTGTCGACGTGAAAAATATTTCCCAGCTCCTCTCCAGTCTACTCCGATGGAACTTTTTCCTACGCACTCAGAGCAAGGTGTTTAGCGACCGGGAAATGTTAGGGTGTCAGGGAAATCAGGGAAAACGTCAGGGAACCTGCAAAAGTTCGGCATGTCAAGGAATTTCATTTTGCAAGCGATTTTCGTGTCAGGTTAAAGTCAGGGAAATCGAAAAATATGGATTTTCCCGAAAATGTTTCGCGAATTTTACTCTTGGCGAAATCTCTACCAGGATTTCTGCTGATGTTTTTTAAATTTTAAAAATGAGGCAAAAATATCTCGCTTCAGTTTTTGCGTCATATATTTTTCTCCATTCATAATATGACATTCCTAAAATATGAAAAAAAATTCTTACATATAATCAGTTCAAACGTGTCTAAAAGTTAGAATTGTTTTCCATTTTGTCAGGGAATTATTTTTTCCATCCGTCGGGGAATTTTAAATTGTTCCCCGGTTTTTTGGCCATTTTTGGCGGTGAAATCAGAGGAATATCAGGGAATTTTTTTTTTTAATTGCTGGACACCCTGTCAGAGTCGTTCTTTGATGCATCCTTTTCCACTGAAGGCCCCATAAAAATTGGAAAATTTTATCAGTTTTGCTTTTAAAATGTATCCGTGGACGATAAAGGAACGATTTGCCGCTGAAAAGGTCCAAAACCGATGGATAGAATTTTTATGTTTCGCAAGTGTTAAGGTAAATTCGGACGCATCTTGAAGTTTGTCAAATGATTAGAATTGTTTCCTCCTTTTTATTTCTCTATGACCAATCTATTGCAAATCGTATTCTGCTGGAGGAGTTTTTTTTTTAAAATCGTCGCCAAATTTCGTCCAATTAAATGAGTATTATAAAGAAAATTAACATTTTTCTTTAAAAATTTCAGAAACTCCAGATTTTCATCGCGAGTTGAATTGTCTGGAAAATTTAGAGATAAATTTCCACATTTTCCAGTAAAGTCTAATACTGCCCGAGTTTTTAAAAAGTATTTTTACATCTCGGTCAAAATCTTGAATGAACGGATAAAGTCGCACTGTGCCTTTAAAAATCAAGAAAATCTGTCATCGTGTATAAGGCAGTTTTATAAAGATCGCTGAAATTGAAAAATTCCATCGCATTACAGGTAGATCATAACATGAATAATAATTAATTTCTTTGAAACAATTTCCTGAAGATTCAAAGCATCTCAGCTTTTGATCTGCAATATTCCTTTGGCCAATAGATGGTGGGGGATTTTCCCCTTAGTGAGGATTCGGAAGTCTCTAAATATTAAAAATCCTGAAAACCTATTAGGATAAAATCCCTTAAAATTCTCTTTGAGTTCGCTCTTAGCGTAATTAAAATTCATATAGGATTTTAGGCAGGTATTGGAAAGCATTCAAATAAAAATGAGAGGTATCTAATTACTGCTTTATTAAACTAGGAAGCTTTTGATAGGTATCCAATTTAAGACTTTGTAAATTAAGCTTTCTGGGAGCATCTCATAATGTTCCCAACGTTATCTTTGCTTTATTCAATTAGTAATCCTCTTATATTCATAATTTGTACTTTAAGCGTTCTGTGAACTTTTCAAAATGTCCCTGACGTTTTCGAACATTCCACTTGTAACGAGATGTTTATCTTTAATTTTAGTTTCAAGACTTCAGGTAGCGCGCATGAAACGATTCTTGTTCAAACTTTACTCGTAAAATCTGACAGAGATGCATCTTTCGAAATTTGCATCGTTAATGCAAGAAACCAACATAAAAAGGGGATTAAGCAACAGTAAAACACTTTTCGTAGAAAGAAAAAGGTTGAATTTGAATCAAAGCTCATAAAATTATCGTCAAGCCTTCGCGCCCTCAAATTAAGACATTAACTTGGGGTTCGTCCGCCCGTAAAATGATACAAAAATATGATGGTTCAAAGAATGACCCAGAGGTCTCGTAAAAAAAGATTTCTCCTGCCATGCTAATTAAGAACGCCGTATAAGCCCTCATACGTTGCCACATTGCCTTCGATAAAATATGAATTTTCAAGGAAATTAATGCTTATTTTCTCCGAATTTTTTAAAGAATTTCATTTGCAATCGGATCTAAATTATCTGAAAATTTCATTCGAAAACATGTACAACTCTCCTCAAAAATGAACATTTTATCGGAGGAAATTTTGCAACTCTCGAATGTTCATTCGGCGTTTTCCCGCAGCACGGTAGTATAGTCCGAACTTTAAAAAGAAACAAGCTGAATTGAAGCAAGCAAGAGAAGAAGAGAAGAATCTCAAACACAAACATTATCAAAAACTCAATTAAACCGTGATCTCGCGCCTCGAAACAGCGGGCAAAAACAGGTGTACCAGGAAGAGATTAGGGAAACTCGCGATTATGGACTTGTGACAAGACATAAAAGTGAAGAGCGAACCCTGTCTACTACCCAAGCGGGGCGGCAGACATCAAATAAACTACTTAATACTGCGACGGAAAAATACAAAACACGAAGTAAACATTACAGCACCGCGGGCACTGCGTCATTGAATGTCTCGACATCACGGTTTCACGTTTAAAACTTGGTGGGAAATTAAAAACTTATTTCGGAGCCCGACTCTCTCAACCTTGAACATTGGGCTTCCACCATGACCGGAACTTTGAGACCAGCTCATGTAGGCTTGAAAGTTGATTTTAGTAAAACCGATGTCTCTATCCTGTATCTCCTTGTATTTTACAAAAGGTCGAAGGTGGAAGGTGTTTTATGGTCGGTTCAATGGACCACTAGACAAGGTACGAATTTAAGCAATCTGATACATGTTCCTTAATCAGAATTTCACGTAGAGCACGATTCACACAACGGGAATTACTGAAACCAACTCCTAACAAAGATATTAACGTTTTTATTTCACATTGGCTACAAGGAATTCGAACTGCCCGCTCACAAGAAACTCAAAGCTCTACGCGAGTCAAATCGCGCACTACAACGGTTTCTGCAAGTCTCTCAATCGAGCAATGTTCATTTCCCACCAAGTGTTGTTCAAACTATAAGCAATTTGCTACAGCTGAGCCAAAGCGTCAAGACTGAGGTTGCCAGATTTTTACATCGCAGAGACTGTCATGATAACGTTAAGCGCGCGATGTATGAGTCACGTAGAGCATTGAGTTTTCATGAGCGGGTGGTTTGAATTTACGCACCAAGAATCATCAAATATCTTCGTAAGGAGTTGATTTCGGTAATTTTCTGTGTGCGCATCGTGTTCTACGTAAAATTTTAGTTACCAAACATGTATCAGAATGCTGAAATTCGTACCTTGTCTAGTGGTCCATTGATTCCCTCGAGGAATTTCGTTTTCTATCCAAGCTACGTATCTACATGACATGATGATACATTAAATGGTACATTGCTTAGTGCATTAACTGCTCTAAGATAGCATAATAAATTGTACATTGGAGTTTTTTAGCCAATGTGGGTTAAAAATTCTGCATAAAGCTGCAAATCGCAATACAGAGGGAAATACTCATATGAGCACAATTTTCCTCTCAAAGAGAAATGCTGTTTGTTTGGTACAACACTAGTTACGACCATTCAGGAAGGCAACTGCAGACGCGTTTCGGCCTTGTTGGGCCAATCCTCAGTGCAGTGCAGCCTCCTGAATTTCCTGCTACGACGCTCGGAGAGGTCGTGAAAACCAGCCCGAGACTTGGGCAAGCGACCGCTTTCCCGCGGACGGCCATATGGATCACATTTTGCAACAAGAAACCACTATTTCTTGCTCGTTTTAGGAACAACATAGTGACGGTGAAACTACCAGACCACGTATCTCGTTTGCGGTGTCTAAAAATCTCCACTCACATTTTATTTTTTTTATGGAAATCAAATCAATAACATTCCTTACAATTTTCACAGATTTTTCTCCGCACAAAGAGGAAAAATCACAGAATTTTTCACGAATTGACGTTGAGTAGTTTTCTACTTAAAAAATAAAGTATGACAGGAAGTCTGCGACGCCGCAAACCGAGATACGTGGTTTGGTAGTTTCACCGTCGATATATGCCATTAGTTTCCCTATGCAGAAAGGTGATTTTTTGAAAGAGCCAGAGATAGCGGTTCCTTATTGCAAAATGTAATCCACGTTGAAAATTTCGCTATTTTTCATGTAGTGTTATTTCTCAATTTTTCTGAAATGACTATTTTGTGTAAAAGTAGAAACATGTGATTTGATGGATTTGTTCCCCCTGTTTGTTTCAGACTTATTAGCCGATCCAATTAGCTGCGATAATTTACCTGCGAACGAATCGACGTCAACTCTGGATGCCCTGAGCGATGCGATCGTGACATCCACGTCCCCGCAGCAACCCCAGCTCCAGCGCCCCAACAGGCTCGAAATCAACCCCCTTCCACCCCCACCTAGCAATAATCATATCAATAGCAATCCCAGTAGAAGATCGCCGCACGTAAGTACCTTTTTTCCAGATTTTACTTTTTTCCTCGAATCCGTCCATCGCGGTGAATCGTCGGAACAGCCGAGACCAGTTGCATAGCCTGAAATTATCTTATTTTCGAAGTGCCTACATTGTATTGCATTTTGCAATAAGGAACACTGGAAAAAAAACACATTGGATCTAGAGTCCAGACTCTTAAGAACATCGACAAGAAAAAATACTCTTGATTTAATCAGATTTAAGCTTAAATCAAGAACCAAGCCTTTTAATTGAAGCGGATTTCGTTTTGATTTAAGCTTAAATCTGATTGAAACAAGAGTCCTTTTTCTTGTCAATGTTTTCAAGAGTCTGCACCCTAGATTCATTTTTTTTTNCCCCCCCCCCCCCCCCCGTGTAACCACTATCCCTGGCTCCTCCATAAAAGCATTTTTCTGCATAGGGAAACCAATGGCATTGATGATATTTCTACAATGAGCCAGAAATAGTGGTTCCTTGTTGCAAAATGTGGTCCCATTTACCTTCGAGGAGAGGCGCATAGTGGATCAAGTCAATGAGAGAGGTCGGACATGAAGTTTTTGACAAAAAGTGCAAATTTTGATGTTAATTTCGTCACAATTTAAAGTCTAAGGGGTGTTTCTAGTAGATAATTTTACTAGGAAACCACTTTTAAAACCTCAAATTTTTTTATGAAAGGAGCTGTTAAAGTTTCCAAATTATGTCCAGCCTCCACCGTAGACTCGATCCACTGTGAGGCGGAGAGGGCTGTGGTCAAAAACGTCTCTTGAAATTGAAGGAAGGAGGTTTGGTTTAATGTCGAAAGGTTCTGAAATCGTAGAAAATTATTCCCTTTTTTTGGAGAAAATTGCTAGGTATTTTGGAGGTCTCTTCTCTTAGTTACATCTCTGAATTGAGACAATCGTTTACATGTTGAAGATTAGTGGACGATTCGAACTAGGAGTAGCCCTCCTACACCAAGCGTTGCCTAATCTTGCACCATTATTTTAATTTTTTCTCTGTCTCCCTCTCTAGTTTCTTCTACAAATCTACTGTAAACAATATCCTGCCTCGACGTTTGATGTAAATATTCTCTCTTATTGAGGAAAAACGCACAGAAAGTTTCAAGAGCCTACTTGGTAAAAACATTGCATTCGATACAAAGGTCGACACTACACGCCGACGAAGAACGAACTACAAATGCAACTTTCTACTCCAAAAAAAAATCTGCTTTCATTATCCTGGATTTTGCAATTTTTTTGATTGAGAGAGATTGTGGCTCATGCCCAGTGGCTATCGTCCTTTTTTTTCACTAAAAAGGCAAAATCCGCCGAGATTTTTTACTTCGACGATGACACCAATATATATTGAACACCAATTCTGCCGTGCTAAGGAGAAACGCCGTACGAGCTTTCGAACATTGCCAAATTTCCTCTCAGAAAGTATCAATTCTCGAAGAAAGTTGCACATTTTTTTCCATGAAATTTTCAGACTTTTTAGCTAAAATCTCGAACAAAATCCTCCGAAAAATCGGAGGAGAAATATTACAAAATTTCCCTGAAAATTCTTATTTTTTCGTAGGACATTTGGCAACGCTTGATGGCTCATACGGCGTTCTTCCGTAGTACGGCAGAATGCAACGATGCCAAGAACCTAAGAAATAATAAAAATCCGTTTGTGACGAATTTGTGTTGTTGGATTACAGAGCGCGGGCGACGTGTACTCGTCGGCGGAACCGCTGAAGAGCGGCGTGGATTCCGGGATGCCTTCGAACGGGACTCCGTTGAGCAATCACCACGAGCTCCAGCTCCTGAGGGAGCAACTCGAGCAACAGTCGCATCAGACCCAGTCGGCCCTCGCCCAGGCTCACCTCTTCAGGGACCGACTCGCCGCCGAAACCGCCGCCAGGCTCGAGTCTCAGGTTCGCTCTTACATTTTTGCATTTATTTCAACAATTTTGGGACAGTTTAACAGGGTTTCTACAAGTCAGGAAAGTACGGAAATAATACTGATTTTTTTAAATGCGGTCCGGAAGTCCTGAAAAAGTGCGGAATTCTGCAAGGAGGTCCGGAATTTTTTCAGTTTTTGTCATTTTTGTCGCAATTTGAGCGGGAAATCCAAATTTTTGAAATTTGCCAAATTTCGTCAATTGAAGGTACTGGAAAAGTACTGAATTTTTCTGTCGAGGAGGTACTGAATTTTCTGGGAATGTACTGAAAAAGTACTGATTTTTGGCCAGCCTGTCTTAGTAGACACCCTGTAAAAGTTCGTTAAGTCGAACGACGCTTATTATGACGAAAATCAAGTCGAAATTCTCTTCAGTCTCGGTGATATTTCGATGCACTATTTTAGTGTGACGTAATAAATTCAACAAAAATGCGCATGTTACTGAAGAGTGCAGTACTCAGTAGATCTTAAAGATTGAGTCTTCCCCCACATAAACTGACCGATGAAAATACACAATTTATCTCATTTGTAAAGAAACGAGAGATTTCAGAAAGTAGTATGCATACAAAAATTGATGTTATTCCTGGCAAAATATCAGTAAGTCCTCCTTATTCTACGAGAGAGCAGCATTGGCTGCGAGGCCTGTTTTGAGCAAAGTAGCTTTTCTTTTGCCGACTTAGACTCGACCTAAAAATTAATTTACACCCGTCAAAAATGTATTCTTGCAAGCAAACCTGACAGAAGACGGGAAAAGAGCATGGAACCAAAGTGTTTTTTGTTTCGGTAGTCGCGGCCGACAGACGCGTGAAGACGAGCGTTGATTATAATGATGGATACAACTATTCGTGCTTAATGGATGTCCTGGTTGCATATACAGTCAATCGAAGGCGCGCTGGTTTTCTGCTCGCTCGTGGCTGGAACGCGAGTCTACCGCAACTCATCAGGAAGCCGTTGCCCTGACGAGTGCCTCTTTTATCACATCTTGCTCTCCCCAAAATTGTTTTTCTATTCAGACACGCTTCTGTGCTTGTACCCACCAAAATTTCAGCCATACATAGAGCTCCCCAAACAAGGGTCCTCAATCTCGCCGTTTGTTCCTTTGTGCGAAGGAAGAAAATTTACCAACCTGACAGTTGCAATCGTTGATTTTTTGAGCAGGTCAATGAGGAACAGAGTGTGTTGCAGTATCAAACTATCCACGAATGCCCACATCATCATTCACTTTTTGATAAAATCATAAAAATATGTATGTGTCATGTGTTATCAATGACATCGCTTGCAGTATATTTTGGACAAAGTAAATTGTTCTTATTTCACGAATGGGGCAAGTTAATTTTATGAATCCATGAGCGAAATTAACTTGCCCCATTCGTGAAATAAGGGCAATAGCCATGTACAGAATCGCTCCTGTTAGAGTCTGTAACTATTATTTTGCAAATTGTTTCCAGCAAATTTATTTTGTTTTATATTCATTTTTTTTTAGTTGGCTATCGATCATTTTTTGCAAACCTTAAAATATTTTGAAAACTTTTTTCTCCTCCATAGCTCGGTATTTTTTCCTCTTCTACAGCAAACTCCAACTTTTCCTTTCAGAAATCGACAATTCACTTGAATCTAAAATGTAAACTTCTCTGTTTGATTTTTCCAGGCTCGGGAACATCAGCTTTTGGCGAACAACAAGGAGCTCCTGGAGCACATAGCAACCTTAGTAGCTCTCTTGCAGTTACAAGAAAGATCGGGTTTCCAAAATTCTCCTCAAAATATTTCAAATATACCACAGGTTAGTACCACTAACTCGTTTCTATTTCAAAAAATCCTTTCCTTTCCCTCAGCTGCACCTGAATTAAAAACCTTGAGTTAACCGAATGATGGGTCTATGAAGAGTCTCCTTCCAGCATAGTCTTGCTGGTGAAGAGAAAAAAATTCTTACCAAAGCAACCAACCCAAACGATCTGATTATTGTCAAAAAATCAGAACTGGAAGTTCACTGTGTCTCTTTTGCCTCTTTTCCTTTTTTTATCATCATAAATGCAGATAATCATTTATTGAAGATTAAAGAAGAGGTTTATGCCTTGGTTAAGTTCAAAGGTTGATTTATTTTTTCAAGTAGGTAGGTATAGTCATTCAAAAGCAGAAACAGATTTACTAACACATCAGCATTTCATCTTGATCATTCCAAATTTTACGACTGTGAAAGTCATCCAAATTGAAGACAAAATTTTTTATTCTTGACAGTTTTACCGTAGGGAGACTTCCCTTTTTACGTAGTGAATGTTAGTTTTCCCTCCAAACTGATGAGATTTCTCGTCTTTGAAGCCCTTTCCAATGTGTGTGGGAAAACATAATATCTATTCAGTTATTTATACAATACATCCTTTCTTACACTAAATATTGACCATAGGCTTTTGAAAACTAAATAGTAGTTTTTAAACATTTCTGCTTTATTTTTGAATTTTTAAAGGAAAATGGCACACTCTTTTAAAAAAAAATTACTATAGAGAATAAAAAAAAATTAGAAAAATCAAAATAAAATTAATAGTGTTGGTTGATTTCCTTTTTAAAAAATACTGGAATGGTGGCAAACATATTTGAAATTAGTAACAAACTGGTGTGTGCTACTGCAATTGTAAAAACAGTGATATAACTCAGTCCGGCATTAATTCAGTCAGAATTTTGTGGGAAATTATAATTATTAATCATAAATCCAGATGTTTTCTATCCTCCATTGCAGTCTTTGCCTAATGCTTCTTTTTGCTTTTTTAATAACATTTTCATATATTTTGCTTTCCTAACAATTCGTACCTCAGGGCAGTGTGCATGCTAGAAAAAGGCATCAAATAATACTCCATCAATCATTTTAATGTATATAATCATTTTTCATCCATGCATGATCGTGCACTTCTCAGCTTGCGCAATTAGATATTCCATATGTCGTTCAAAATAAAAGTCTACCATAAGCTGATAGACCTGCAGAAAACATTTTGAGTCGGTCACACAGTTGTTCAAAAACTCAAGCAATGCACGAATTTCACCGTTCCTGTTTAGTTATATCCTTCCCGCCCGGCAAGTGGTTGCCTGAAGTAGTTGCGAAAACGTTGTCACAATGTAACTGTCAAAAATAATGTTGCGGCAACGTTGCAGCAACGTTAGTTTTGTCCGTTTGCCGGACGGGTTATATCTGCCTTATATAATTTTTGTAAATTGAAAGTGTGTTTTTGATTTTTGTTTATTTATGTTTTATTTTTACACTTTTTACCTCTTGGTTCTAATTGCAGGTCTTTTCAAAGGATTTTGTACATAACGCTGTAGACGCTAGCAATCAACTTATACAATTTTGAGTTCAAATGTTTCCCAGAAAAAGATGATCTATTTTTATTATTTTTTTATTTTGAAACGTCACGTTCCCTATACCTCTCTTTGGATAATTTATACAGATTTTTTTGTTTCCCTTAAGACAAAGTTTTACTTAATTTTTAATCATGATTAGTTTTGTTCCTGGTTTCAAATTTTGTCTAATAAAGTAAACTTTTATTTCTTCTGTTTTGGTTTTGAAGAAATAAAATGACCATGAAGTGTAGTTATCAAGCATTGAGCAAGTGAATAAGGCACCGCTTGTTTTTGATTTCTTAATCATAAAAAATATGGATAGCTATTGCCAAAAAGTGCATATCTCCAGTGGCGTGGCGCGAATAATCGATTATCGATATCTCGCCATTTGAAACTATGGTAAAGAATCGAATACTAAGGTGTTCGCTGCGAACACCCTGAAAATCGATCTTTTTTCATAGGTTTAAATGGCATAACAATCGATATATCGCAATTCACGCCACGCCACTGCATATCTCCATTTGTGTGATGTCTCTAATGTTTATTCACATTCTTTTTTTTAAAAGAATTCCTCCATACGGTTATCTTAAATTTTTTCCAGAATTCTGTTTGGTATGTAGGGAGCAAACAACAATAAATCAGGTCAAACTGTTTCACAGTTTGCTTGTGAAAAAACAAAAAAGTCAATAACATGCGGAAATTTTAAAACACTGCAATAGAGCCTTGCTATTCTTAACTTCAGCCGTTGATGTCAACTAGGTATATGCACTTACGTGCACTTAAATTATTGCAACGTATTGCTACCATATCAGAATTCCAACATCAAAGCTTTTTTTTGTAGTTGTAATTGTTTTTATCATCTTTATTTATGGTTTTGATACCAAACTTACTCACTGACCTGTTGATTTTTCTGAATTACTTATTGTTTGTAAGTTTAATTTTTTCCTAACAACCGTGCCTGTTTTGAATTCTTAATTAATGAACTATTTCCTTGTGATTTTATCTGTGAAGCCCTAGTTTTGTTTGTAAATTTTGATTGAGCACTGACATTTTAAATTTTAGATGTCTTGTATTCGCTTTGTGATTGAGTGTAATGAATTTAATTTTGTGGTTGACCGTAATGAATGTAATGTCGTTCTTTTAGCTTAGTACCTACTTCTTATTTTTTAATGCATAGCGCCTTTCTAACCGATCATTTCTCTGGAATTGATTGATTTTTATTGTCAAAAACCTGTGCGTTTCTCAACTCTACATTGCCTGTCTGATTTTCATGAAACTATTTTGTTTCTGGGATGAATAGGGATCACTTCTGAACGATGCTCAAACTCCATCTTCCAACTCGATGTTTTTGCCAGATTATCAAGACCTGGAAGCTCTACGCCACCTAGCGAACCAACAAACTCCGCTCATCGACAGCAGAAGCCTTCCACCAAATTTCCTCCCACAATCTCCACCTCATCAAACTATGCTTCCTTCAATGTTCAATTTTGGTTTCACCCCTACGTCTGAGCAGCAGTTCCAAACGCAGCTACTACAAAGGCTTCAAAGTTTAAGTTCTCGCCCTCCGCCCTATCCATCTAATTTATTTCAACAGGCCGGTCTTGTGCCTCAAGCTACTCCGCAGCCCTCCATTTCCACTCCTAATTTCCGAATCTCACAGGCATCTTCTTATTCCGGATCTCCCATCCTCACTCATAAGTCCAACTCAGAAAGTTGCATTAAACAGGATGAGGAACCTGCTGAGCTGATCAAACCCTTATCGCAAAGCGGAACACTAACAACCACAGACAATGATGGGCGAGTTAGAGTTATTGTTGCCGTCAGTGATGATGAGAGTAAACCAGAGCCAATTCCAAAACCGGCTGTATCTAAGCTGGATCCACCATCCACTGTCAATAAAAGGAATGGAAAACAGCCAGCAACCCCTACTAAGAAACAGCAAGGTTTGCTTGCATCAGCAATGGCATCCCTGAGGGTTTCTGGCCGTGAACCAGAAAGCGCAAATAGCAGAAAAAGGACAAATGTTCCAAATGGTCCTTTTATTACCAGGTCCACCAGTGAAAAAGTACCTAATAGAAGTGAATTAATGTCACAGGTTCAAAGAACTATGTGGGCTCGACATACCACTAAATGACCTTTACTTTCCCCGTTGCTCCGAACAAACTTTTTTCGCAAAGTTACTTCAGTTGTTAACAGTTGGCAACACTTTGTTCCTCTTTGACAGGATTAATCCCCTGGAAAAATTACTCTTGTTCTCAATATTTTTTATTAGTGCCTAAGTATGTTTTATTTTAATTGACTGCCATTTGTGAAAAGGAAAGAGGTAGTTCTCTTGTAATTTTACTTCCCTCTCCCCTCGTCTACATAAAGATGAAGTTTTTTAATTGTTCCTTTTAAACTCCTGTGAGTGATCAGAAATGTAGGATTGCCTGATGTAATTAAATTTCATCAAATTTTAAGATCAATAATGTATGCACTTGTAATTGAATGCTGGTTCCCTCAAAAATAAGTATTCAAACGATTCAAATTCAATAATACTGTAAGATAGGATCAATAATTTTATAAATAAGAAAGAAAAAAAAAAAGCAGAGTCAAAACAATTCATCAGATGATAAAGTGGACCTCAAATTTTCTACTCAGAATGAAAAATTATTCAGGTTGCAAACTCTCTAAAAGAATTCAGTCAAGTAAGTATTACCTATTTTTAAAACTTTCGAAAAATTAGTGCCCATCTTATCAGAAAGAAAAACAATCAATTCTATCTGGTATTTATTTGTTGTTATACTATAATTTCATTGTTGAATCCTGGAAACGTTGGTGCTCAAAATCTTGAAAGTATTGTTATTTTTGTACATTGTTACTACGTATTTGAGCTTTTAGTGATTTTAAGTGATCTATAATCAAAAGCACTTTTGAAAGTTATTCCTGTTCATGAAAAAAAAAACCTTTTTTCTCCCTTATTTTAAATTCGTTTGGTCCCTCTTGTAATCAAATTAGTCTAAAAATAGGTACCATTTTAATAAGTCAAGAAAACTATTGTCAGAAGATCTCTTAGTATCCTTTCGAAGCTGAGGAGGGTCTGTAACCAACAAAGAAAACATACCCTTAATAAGTGCCACCCAGCGAACGAGAAAAAGGTTCCTTCTGTAAACAACCAATTTCCAAATCTTGTATGATATTCTCAATTTTGACACCCCCCCCCCCCCCTTTTATCACCAACTATTAGTCTTCTAAATATATCAAATTTTTCAAATTTCCATTGGAGTTTAAATACGTTTTTACGCCATGAGTTGATCTAACTGAACCTTGTTTTTCAGTAAAGTCTTGTTATCAGGCAAAGAATTTTGCAGAGAATTTTAAGTGCTACCGTCGACTTAAATTCCTATTTTGACAAACCCACTCGTTTGACTGTAGCTCTATTTTGAAGTACCTAACTTACTTATTTTGTTTATTTTCCTCTGTAAACTTAAATCATCTTATGTACAGTCATACTTTTAGTTAAGTTATTTCTATTGCAACGACAAATGTATTTTTATATATAAAGAAGAAAGTTAGAAAAAATAAAAAAAATCTGTTTTTATATCTAACAGGCTTTTCAATTTTGTGTCCTGCAAAAATCAAATGTTCAAACTTTGGATTTTTTCAAAGTCATCTCCAACAATCAGTAACAGAAAGATGATCAAAGAGCGCATCAATAAATATGTACCTATAGCACATAATCATGAGCAATAATTTTATGTCTTTTTCATGATAAAACTGCTCACTGTAACTGCTTTTCCAGCTGCTTGTTTGACGGCAAAAAAAATTGAGATCAACCATAAATCTGTTTATTGATGCTAATTTGAGTAGAACTTCTCTCGTTTGCAAAATAGAATAAAAGGTTGAAAGTTTGTCTGCTTTTAACTATTTCTCTAGGTGTGACATCAGATACTTGAAATTTTGTTCAAAAACATATTTTTAAATTTGTCTGATTGTATATAGTGGACGCAAACAGGACATTATAATTCGTGAAGAAAAGCGTCCAATTATCAATAATAGCTGAGCCTCTAAATGTTTCGTAAATTGGACAAGAGTGAGCTTTCTGTGCATCCTTTTTTATCAAGGCCTCTAACTCTCAACTCAGAAACAGAAAGACTGGGCTTTTTCATGTTGATCACATTCTCTTTTGCCAACAGTGGCGAGGCGTGAATGATCGATAAATCGATATTTCCCCATTTGAAGCTATGGTATAGTATGGATCGTCAAGGTATTCGCTGCAAACACCCTGTTTATTAATCCTTTTCCATAGGTTTAAATGGCAGATCAATCGATATATCGCAAAGCAAGCCATGTCACTGTTTGCCAATGAAATGGTTTTTCAATTGATAGCAGTACTCACCGGAAAATGGTCCTTGGGGTTTTTCGGTGCACCGGAGAAGCCCCTGAAATTGAGCTTTCTCAAAATAGAGCAGAGGAGAATCCTCAGTCTAATTTGAGATTTTAAGACTTCTCCTCAATTTAGATTATAAGCTTTTATGGTATCTACCTCGCTAAGAGCTCACGATTTCAGACAAAAAATCCAATCTATCACAAGTATTTCAATTTTATCTTTCACCAAATCCTCAGCCTCCACTTTTCTTTGTCAACTGAAAGCTTTGATGAAAATGTTGCTGCACATTCTTTTGACCTGATCCTGAAAGATAGTATCTTTCTATCATAATCAGCTGCGACTCAGTGCCTACAAATACCAGAAGATTCTAAGTATTCTGCAGGAAGCTGAATTTCTGTTGCGTACCTATGGGCCGCTTTTTTTCTCCTTCCCAACAATTTTTTCTTTCGCGTTTACAATTGAATCGTCCACAAAAGCTTCTTTCTGTGAATCTATTTTTTCTATTTAATCCCACTTACACTCTTGCATGCTTAAAATATTTTATTCATCACTTGGGCTGTCAGTGGGTATCATCACATGCGCATCGCACTAACTATCTACGGTTCTCCTCATTCAGCACAACAGCTTTGTATAAATTTCACCTCTACCTACTTTATTAAACATTCTACGGTTGTGGTCACCTATTGCGGCATGTGGTCTCCTATCGGATGAGCTTTGCTGATGCACTACCGCCAAGTTAGCATCTCCACCAGCTTCGGGTAAGATTTTTATCAATTTGTGTTTGGATGTGGGAATTGACTTTTTTACTTCTTAAAATATAGGTAAATAATATTTTCTCTCCCTTTGGTTTTAAAAAACTGGAAGATTATCCACATTTTATTACAAAGCTAAAGGTATAGGTACTTGAGAGTTTTTGTCAGAATCATTAGAGAATCATTTTTGTCAGAATGATTAGGTAAACCATTTTTTATCTCTTACTTATATGTAAGATAAGAGAGGACAAAAAACCCCCAACAAAATGCTATTATATAACAGGATGGTAGAATAGTGGTGGGTTCACATTACGAAGAAATCAATGCCAAAAAGTTCCAAAAATTTTCATCAGCGTAACAAGTATGAATTCTGATGAGTATTAGTTCCTGCACTACGCGGAGAGCTAAAATGCTCAACTGTGATCAGGTTCACTCAAGTATTCTATTAAAGTATGTATCGTAACTTGTGAAGTTTTGTGAAAAATTTGTATGGAAATTGTCACAAGTATATAGTGCGACAACGCATTCTGCATGAAAATCCTGACCATGGAACAGAGCAGCAGACAGACTGTCAGAATATTGTCTGAGGCCATGAGATTTTAAAATACAAACCTGAAATAGACTTCGGTGTTTGGCTATCACTAACTTCCTTACCACGCCTTTATCGTGTGAGATACTTAATCATTAAACTATTATCAGCCTTCTCAGAGTGGACAATCGACCCATCATCCATCTTATGAACTTATAGTTCCCCCTCAAGGGCTTTCTCCCTCTGGGAGGACTTTATGAAAAAATTGAATGTAATAAAAAACGTAACTGATCAATCTTGGAACTTCATTCTACATAGCTTCGTCTTATCTTATTTCATCATATGAGATAAAATTTTAGCCATTGGCCTGCAGGTTGATCTTCATTCAATAATTTCCTGAAACTCGTTTTGCAGGGCAAAAAGTCTTATGAGGATCTCAATGCCCCGAGTACCTACTCAATGTTCTAAGTTTTAATTCTACAAATGTTTAGCATGACACCCAAATAGGTAATGAGTTAAACAAGTTAGTTCTCCGCATAAATTTGATTTTAAATACTCTCTTCCTATTGATGTGTTCTAATCGTTGGATACAATTGTTTAATATTTTCAGATGAGCCCAGGCTCTAAAGTTGCCCGATGGTTTGAAGCATTACAGCCGCTCTCTCGTCCAGAAAGTGGATTCGTGGACTTCACCGAACCTGAAAATGAAGAGCAGGTCTTGGCAGTCCTTTCTGACCGACTGTCTCATAAAAAAAGGAAAAAACTTTTCGGTTTAAAAAAAGGCAAGGTAACAACATTTTAGGACCCTTGAGACATATTGCAACATTATTTTTGTGGAGAGAATAATTTCCTCAATTTTTTGTAAAGCTGCAAGATTTGATTAATCAACATATCAATGCAAGTTCATTTTCAACTTTCATCGAAAATGAATCAAATTATTTTTTTTAAGTAACCTTTTAAAAGATTTTGAAGGTTTTTACTGACCTATGAAACTGTTGCCCTGTTTTGGAGGCAATACGGTGCTAATTCTAAATGTTAAGGAGGTTCTTATGCACTTTGGAGAGTGATTTGATAGTCAATCGATGAATTAATCATTTTTGGATTCTGGCACATTTCATGAAAATTTTAGAGCATCACATCACACTGCACTGTGATGTGTCAGGTATTATTGCCTACAATTTGACTATAAAATACAGAAAAACTGTTCAAAATAACACAATATTCGGAGGTTCCTGGTGACTTTCGCTCATTGTTGCATGCCAATACCTGACGCACTCATGCATGATGTGGTCCTCGGAAATTCTTAAGAAATGTCCTAAAATTTAGAAATTATCAACTGATCAATCAACTATCAGATCGATCTCTGAAATGCTGTGGAATCACCTCAAATGTTTCATGTATCCCTAATCAGTTTTCACTGTTTAGTGACCTACTTAATTTCAGGGGTGCAGAAATTGTTTTCCTTTCAAGTTTTTTTTTGAATTCTTAGAGAAAGCTCCACAATTTTTCTCATTCACATTATAATATTGGAGATGAGGAGAAAACTACTTAAGAAACACCCAGAGATTATTCCTAAAAACTAGAAATAAGTAATGCTTAAAATTCTGAAAATGGCTACGACTTAGCCTATTCTCCTTGCTTTCTTAGGCATTCAGCATTTTCTGCATCCCTGTTTAATTTGTGCCTGCTCTCTGTACTAAGACCCCCACTTGAAGTGCCAAATTGTGAGGAAAGAAAGTGAAACAATCACAATATTTTGTTAAATCTTTTCTCAATCATCCATCCAGAGCTCAAGAACTTATTCGAAGAACTCTATACATGAATCTTGTAACTTTGACTTACTTTTAAACTAGGAAAAAGACTGTGTTCATAGTTGTCTTTTAAGAACCGAAGAAACTCATCGAGTTCAGCAATGTTTGTATCAGTGATCATATGCAAGATTCTGCAGATGTTTTCTTAAAATCGAATTTTAGTTTCTGTATTTTTGGACGTGTATTCAAAGATGATTTTTCCATCTCACCTTGATAGAGAGATCAAATTTTGAAGTCTAGGAGAAAATGCTTTCCAAATTTCGATGGAGATAATAAATCTTTGTTCAGTTGTCTTTTCATGATAAAGCAACAGTTGAAGTATAAATCACATGATTATCATTCCTTCCCCGAGTTTCGAAAAATATCATTTTATATGTATATATGTAAGTATTTTTTTTTCTTATAGTTAGCCTAAGTTTATTCCTTCAATTAATTTTTTAGTGTGAGTTTTTGCGCTCTTAACTTGCACATTATGTATACTTATTAGTGATTTTTTTTTTTTTTCAATCCTTAAAGCCTCCTGAAGCTTTTTTTCTAGTAACATTCACCAACTGGAGCCTACCCATTGAAAGAAAGTCTATTGAAAGTCTTAAAAAATTCTATCCTTTCAGTGTTGGTATAGACTGACACAGTGGTTACACAATTCTTGCGAATGGTTCTCATCGAAGCAATGGAACATGACCTCATATTTAAAGTCTGTGAGACTTAATTGTGTTAATTAATTAAATTTTGTCTTTAACAAGTCATTAATCAGTTAAGGACTTACTAAACACGAGACATTTCAATTGCAAGAAACAATTAGACACAATTTATCACTTTTTACAACAATGTAATACGTCTGTTTGCGATTAAACCATTGGAACTGCAATGCTGTAGCCAGTGAATCGGTCTATTCAAGGGAAAAAATTCCAGTGATTAACTCAAATAAATAACATGCTTTCATTGATACCTCAATCATTCTGATATTTTCCGATTTCTCAAACATTGGCTCCTTAAAATTTATCAGATCCAGACCCTCTTATTTTTCGGCAGTCATTTTCTCCTCAAAGTAGGAACCAGGAAGTATGAAAAATCATTCTCTTTTATTTGTAAAAATTACAGAATTTTTATGAACGCCAACCTCTTTTCTCGATTTTTCTTTACTTCATTTTTATAGATTTTTATGTTAGTAATCAGAGCTGTTTTAGAATCAACCCTCCTTTTTTTTACAAAAATAAATAAAAAAGAATGAACAAGTATGATTTCTATCATTTAATATTTTCTTACACAAATTTACTTTAAAAGACTGCTGTGTAATTTTATAGTATCTTGTACGGTGATTTAATTCCTGTTAGGTGTCTTACACCTAGTAAGGAAGAACACATTTGTGAACAAAATGTTGTATTATTTTTTTACAAGCATGAAAGTTATTATCAGAAGTATTTTGTAATTTTCTTTGTATCTAAGTAACTTTTTTTTTTATTTCATGAACACTTTAAATTCTTATTTCTCGGTTGCATTTTTATGGTAGAAAAATGCTTAACAAGTAGAAGTTCAAATATTTTCTTGGATGGTGGAACTTACTCATTTATTTTCAAAAATAAATATTTCCAAAGAAGAGAAAAGTTCCCACCAAGAAGCAAAACACAATTCTGTCGCTTAAAGATATTGTTTTGAAATCAAAAAGATAATAAAGTTATCATGAGCTAACTCTTGTATTTTTTTGTCCCTCCCATTTCATACTATACTAACCTGCAGTCTGATTGTTGAAACTTTTAACTGGCTATGTTGGCAAGATAAAACAAGACATAGCCCCAAATGTACCGTGTATTATATTGATTTTCGATTCTTGTCGTGCCAACATAAATTTCAACATTCAAGCTACAGCCCAACTAAAGAAAGGGTTGCTACAGAATGAAATTCCCTAATTTCCATGACAAAATTTCTGAATAACTACTTAGCATTTGGCACTTTGCAAGTTGGTTAAAAATCGCCACTTCCAAACCCAAAAACGACCACTATGTTGTTCAAAAAATCAAACACATTCAATAAAGGCAAAAATAGGTGATTTTTTCTGACACTATTGTCCTTTTTTCTGGTTATTCTAGGCACTAGACACCATTACACAACATTTACTTCAAAATTTTCCATAAGAAGGATTTTTCGTTAATCCTTTTCCCTCTTATTTCTTCGGTCTCATTCTAAGTTCCAACTTGTCGAGCATGCTAGGCCTTACAAGCTGATGCTTGTATACGATCAGACGCACCATCACATTTATTTAATATCTTTTTATCTGTGCACTGGATGGCTGATGCAATGTGCCCTAAAACTTAAATTTTCTAGGGCTATACACCCTCCGCCGTTTACCAGGAACTTTACTTCGTGCTCACCATCTCCCCTATGACTACATGTCCTCTCTTAAGCTCTTATGAGTCATTCTAAGATATTTTTTGGGTCGCAATATTTTCAACTTTGCAATCCGGCTTTTAAAGTGAATAAAGTGTGTTGAGCTACCTCGAAAGATTTCCAGTGTCATTCTTCTTGCTTTCTAAAAAATTAACAATAACTTTCTGCTCTCCCAAACTTACTTTAGCTGCTTTGAATGCTATTAAAAATTTCAGTTTGCGAATAATGAAGAAACCCATCGGATACCTCATGGTACCTTAATGACATGGTACCGCAACCCATGTTTCTTCATTATGACATGAAACACCATTAATTCAATATAATGGTTTGAAATTTCTTGATCAAAGTTCATGAAGGGTTATGACAAAGATAAGAAGAACTCCAGTTTTACATTGTATGTTTATGTAATTTATACACAAAACAATTCCAAAATAGACTACGGAAAATGATAAAATTATCAGAAAATAATTTATAATAAAAATACTTATGCAGAGTTGGTTCTTGGAGCAGAATTCCTTCGACATTCAATTGTATAATGCTTATGAAAAAAGGGAAATGAGACTATATCATTCCTTGAATCCTTGTATTAAGATTTAAAAAAAAAAAAACCAGCGGAACAGACCGAGCTGTTCTCCTTGCAGAATCAAGGAAAACTTGCTGAGGTTCTATTCTGTAAGCTTCAGTTTATTTCATTACGCAGGACGCGTATTTTTTTGGACGCAGGAACAATAGAGAAATCCATCTCTGATTGAAATGATCAAAAGGAAAGATGGACTATTACAAAAGTAAATATACATGACAAAGGCGAATAAATATTAAATAAATAAATAAATACACATTCAAAATTATTGAAATAAAATTGGATAAAATTCTTAAGAGTTTACCATAATCAATGGATTTTCAAATTAATGTTTCACTGTATCATTTCGTTACTATCAGTTGGTGTTCTTTTTCACTTTAATTCTCGTGATTCAGTTCTCATTTGTTTTTTCAAGTTTCAAGCCTTGTATACTTTTTGTAAGAGACACACATACATGCCCACCCTGAAGTTTTTTTGCTTTTTAAAGCTGTATGTTTCATTACTGCTCTTTTCCAAATCAGCTATATTTACATGATGTTCTGTACTTTACACTGAATGAGATTTCAGATTAAAAATGAAAGAAAAGAAAAAAGTACTAGAGCAAGTTTATCAGATGAAAATCAAGAACTATAAAAGATGTACATGACTCATTTTTTTTGCTTATTTAAGCAAAAATTCAAGAAGGTGATGGAGAAAGTAAATAAATTAGATAATGAAGTTGAATGAACAACGATGAGACAATCGTATGTCAAAAGGGCAAAAGAAAGTGAGTTGAAAGGATAGAGGGGGAAAAAAGAAAATCAAAATGAAAGAAGAAAGAAAGAGAGAGAGAGAGATAAAATAAATAAATTATTTACAGTCAAAAACATAAATAATAACAAAACTAGATAGCTCAGGTAAACTTTTGGCACGGATAATTAGACCATAAAAATAAAACCAATAATTTTTAGTAGATACACCTAAGGATAGAGCAGGATTACATTGGAGCTGAAATTTAATTTCGCCCGAGAAGAAGATACATTTACGTACAAAACGAGAAGTTAGGAGATGAATGATTGACCAATCATTGATCCTAATAAAAAATCAGAGATTAGCTCGTTCACATTAAAGGGTGAAATCCCTATCAAATTATTAGCGACATTGAAAATTATCACTTTAGTATGGCAAAGAATCCAGAAAAGTGATGAGCGACAGCACAATTCATTTTGAAGACGGCATATTACTTGTCATAAGACCAGCAACTGATATCGGTAACCGCAGAATGGATGGATGGATATTAAGATCACTCACTGATACAAAAGTAACTGAAGGTGAAAAAAAGGGGGAAAAATAAATATAAATTAGCTTGCACGAGTGGGAGCACCGCCACGATAAATAGGTACTTTTGATTAGTTTAAAGATAAAAAATACTTTGGTTCAAAGACTTATTATTAATGCGATAAAACTTTCTAAGTAGGACCAACAACCAATTGGTAAAATTGCGATCAATCGGAAGAGTTGTTCAGTTTTCTCACATTAAATTTTAACCCTTCATTTCAATAATTCTTAAAATATGATTAATGATTTTCGATTTTCTGATTCATTTAAAGTTTTCCCAATCATAAAACGCACGTACACTTGCCGAGAAAATATATTTGAGAATAATGATTGAAAGTAAATTTGTAAAAATGAGAGGAGATGAAAAATTCAAACCTTGAATACCCCAACAGTACTAAATAAAAAACAGAAATCGATGATTAGAGAAATGGTTGTGAAAATTAATACAACTCAACAAACAACGTTTTCAGTGCATAAAATTAAGAATATGTGTACTGCTAATTTTGCATTGAAATTTTTTTTTTACAAGATATTGCAAGTATCAATATTCAAATTCTGAGTCCACTGCTTTCTACAGAGTACTACTTATATAAGATAAGGGCATTAAAGCGATGATAAGCCTCTTAACTAAGTATAAAAATAATTGAAATTTATGAATGGATATTTTCTTACAAATGATTTTAACCATTCAAATTTTTTATTAAGAATATTGATCAGATAATTTTCTTAAAAATATACTTGGTAAAATAGACTCTCAAAAATTTTAATCAGCTGATCGGTGATACGAGCCTTCGGGTCGTATCAAGAACAGGAGTTAATCATGCAATAAAAATTGTTTCTGAGGGGGATAAAACCATGATTAAAATTAGTTTTACACACTAGACAACAATGATCAAATACAAAAATTAAATAAAATAAATGCATGCATATTTCTTTCACAAAAAAATCTAAAATACAAATGTTCAGCATGCGAGATGGACGATTTACTTGGTTTCTTACAGCTTCCGGAGCTTTTCATTTATAACAAAACTTTAATTGTATAAAATGGGCTTTTGAGCAAATGACTGATAAAATAGACCTTAATACCAAAATATAATTTTTAAAAAAAAGAAGAGCAAAGGTTGTTAAGATTGGACTTCCCTAAAAAAATCATCAATGATGAAAATACATGTTTGTGGGAGAAAAGATAATGTGAAAAAAAATTAATACAATAATTACGATGTGGTCTGAAAATAACCGCAACTCTCCACATCAAGCAAAGGAATTATGATTAATGTAAACTTATGCTCGGTTAGCAGGGGATGATCTTCAAACCAGTGATTGCTTCTTTGGTTGCTTCATAGAGATTTTTCGAAATTAAAGCTGGAACAGAAGGGAGAAATACATTAGTATACTTATAGCAGTGATCATTCGAGGGACCAGTTACCTTGAAGACCGAAGACTAAGATTTCAGGACATCGATTTCCTTTAAGATACGTAAAAAAATCCGTACTCATGTTTTACCTGAAAACCTCTGTTTGGTACCTCAAAAAAGGTACAACCAATTTAGTTCATTTTTGAACTGGAGAAGAAAACATATGCATTTAAACTTGAGAATTTGGAGGACCAAACGTAAAAAGTTTAAAACTTCAAATCATTGATCTTCAAAGCTCTATTTTTAAAACTTTAATTTCAGATAATCATAACTGAGTCAGTGAGACCGAAAACACACCAACTCCGTAACTTGAAAATGCTCAATTTTAATCGAGGACAGTCAATTTTCCTGAAGGTCATTGAAGTTAGGGCATCTTTTACAACTTGGACTTTCAAAGTATGTCCTTAAGTATTTGTCTTTCAGCACCAAGAATCTTTTTCTTTCTTAGACTGACTTCTTTGCCTACTGTGCAGTTTTATGTGTCTTGATTATTTTCAATTTTTCGAGTTGGTGTGTTTTCATTCTCACTGATTTAATTCTAGTTAGGTAGAAATTTTTTGTTATAAACCTTTTGTTCGGTACAGCGTTTTTTGCACCACAATGTTCATAAACAAGTTAGATTTTCACTCTTCTATCATGGTTCCTGTTACCATTCAACTTGCACCAGTCCAAAAGCTCAGAAAGCTCACTGCAGGGAAGTAAACAAATCATTCACCCTACAGCTTTGGCTAAACGTTTGACATTTTTTGCGAGCAGGAGTATCCCGATCAATGAGAGACAAAGTGATTGAAAGAATGAAATATGGTGGTTTCAGTACCTTGATAGGATTCAAGAATTTTACAGATCTGATTCTCCATAAAGAGCTGTTGAAAAAGAGTTGTAGTCCAGAGCTCCAGGCACTGCGTTGGGTCCTTTGTAAGGTGGCATCCGTTGAATACAATACTCTGCTTGATCTGGTGGTAGTTCTCGACGTAATTCATCTGCTAAAATGTACGGCTGAAACAAAAACAACAAAGAATGAGAACAGAACATATTTACTTTCGACAGATGCACACCTACGGCTTTAAAAAGTGATGACAATTTAACAGCCCCTGCAAAAACAATCCTTACGGCCAGTCTTTTCAAAAACATGTTTTGATAGTGCTGTCAAACAGTAAGAGGGTTACCTGTAGGTCGATAACCGAGCTAATCATGAAGTAAATATATGAATGCAACCAAGAAGTTCCACACATCTGTCCAATCTCAGATGTGTTAGTTCTCAGCTATAGCATTTCACGTGCCTCTCTTCAGTCGTTTTCCACAAAGACCTTTCCTCAAATATGACAAGTGTTGTCATGGAAATGAAACTTCCGCATAAATTAAGTACACTATTCTTGGGGGTTAATTCAGTTCTAATTCAATAAAATGATCAATTGAAAAATGGTTATGTCAAAGATTAAGAGTGAATCATATTTAAAATGAAACTAATCTTCAAACGAGACAATAGAAGAGAAACGAAGCAAAAGTACTTACTTTGTCGGCTGCCAGAATACGGAAGGAATCGATGACTTGTTCCGCTGTGTCTGTGTCTGTAGATTCTCGTGTCATGAAATCGAGGAAGGCATCGAAAGTTACGTAACCAGTGCTATTGGGATCCACAACAGCCAAAATACGCTGGAAATCTATTTCTCCCTATGACGATGAAAAGCAAACACCGAATTAGACACTAAACATTCGAACTACATTAAAATCATTTATGGGTATAATGAACCAAGGTTTTCCCCTTTAGATAATGAACTTTAGTTCAACACTACTTTGATTGATGCAATGTAACTTTGAATCCTTTGGTTTTAACATTTTCATAAACAGGAGGAGACCGATCCTAAAATTCCATTGAAATCTGTTCAGTGCATTGATTGTAACATTTGTTCAAAATTACAAAATCAGTAAGATTTCAGGCTTTCCTAATCTTTGCAACTCTGTTTTTCCCCTCTCAAATTTGAAATGATAATTATTTAACGACTACTCTGGTTCCGGTGGCGTACGAACACTTGATCGGTTTCCAGTCAAATTTGAATTTTGTCCTTAACATAGGAATTAATTAATTACAAAATATTAAAGAACTATCACTTTAAAAGATTTAAAAAATTAATAGAATACTTTAGATTCAGACTGAATCTCATTAAACACCTGACAGCTATGGCAAAAATACAAGCAACATTACAGAAAATAGCATACTTGTCTGTCTTTTCCAATGCTGTAGCCCAAACTGACAAGACATGATTTGAACTCATCAGGGGCTAAACGGCCACTCCTATTCTTGTCAAAGTGATTGAAACTAGCGCGGAATTCGTTCAGCTGCTCCTGTGTGATTCCTTTCGAATCTCTAGTTAAGATCTGGTTTTCAACTTCGTTGATATTGCGATTGATTGAAGTCAACAGCTGTTCCCATCCGACGCGCAATGTTTCCATGGTGTACTGTGTGAACCTGGATAATGGTGAAAAAAAAGGAGAAAAGATATGAATCAATAAAGTTTTTTAAAATTTGTTTTTTTTTAAAGCATACTCACTTGCACTTAAAATTCACTTCAATGGAACGCGGTTTGAAGTGCATTAGGCTTCATCCTCCGCCATCAACAAACTTGAACATACGCTTAAGATTGCTGATGGTTAAGGATAGATCTTAATGTGATCCGAAACATTTTCTATTCAAATAAATTTTACATTATAAAAATAAAAACTTAACTTGTGTATGATCCAAAACAAGTTTTTTCAATAAAAAATAAATTGTTGATAAACGTAATAATCATTGAATCCATGTTGAAAGGACAGTAACTCCAAATTTTCGAAGATTATTTACGTACCTGTTTTCGAAAATCATGCCTTCTTGCACAGCCTGGTGAATCTTCTCGAGTTCTTCAATATGAGGTTTGTAAGCGTAGACTCCTTGTTCATACTCCTTCAATCGGTGAAGTTGGTCTTCCAACGAGCCTTGGAGACCCATACCAATTGCTGTGACTGCGTCCATTTGCCTTTCGATCCATGGTCCGACTTGGTTAGCCTTCTCAGCAAATTGACGACGCAGCATTTCATTGTTCTGCTGCTTCCTTAATTCTGCTTGCAGCGTTGAATCGCGTTGAGGAACTAGTTGTTGAACTTCAGACCATTTCTTTGTTAAATCCTATTAACAAATTTTGGGATTAAAATACTAATCAATTTAACAAAGCACAAGCCGTACATTTTAAATGTTGTTATTTTCCTCAATTCCTAAAAAAAGCGACTTTTCAAAGCTCGCTTGCAGTACGTTAAGATACAGCTCTGAATCAGCACCACTCAACAGGTTAATACATGTAATTGTAATCAGATGGCACCACTAATGAGGGTGACAGAATAAATACTTGACTTTTGTCTCAACTTACAATGAGCGAGCTCTTGCATTCTGGTTCTATAATTTTGATTAAAGTATCATTAATAGTATGTTTTCTCTTTTGTTGAAATGCCTCAAAATGCCTCTTTGAACTAAGAAAAAGTTACTTAATACAATTGTATGCCATTAAAACGTTTTGGAAGGGAAAATAAAAGTAGCACATTGTTTCCAGAGAAACAAAAGTTGATGAAAACTAGAATGAGGGACAACTAGCCAGGACACATAAAATGGATATAGTTTCTAAAAAATGGAACTTTAAGAAACGTTACTATGAGGTAAAACTGTACGTCTTTTAATCTCCGATAATCATCATTATCTGCGAAGTTCAAGTAAAACAGTTAGAATGAAAAACCACTTAAGTCAAAATTGTCTAGGGTCCTTTAATATTTTGTCTTAATGAGCTTTTACTGTAAAAAGAGGTATACACATTGAAAAGTTTTAAAAATTGTACATTAAATTGCTGACTGCTAATGATACCAAACAAATGGTATAGATAAAAGAGAAAAAATAATAAAAAAACAAAAGACTTACATGGGCTGTGAGAGCTGTGTATGGATTTTCTAATCCACCAGAAATTTGGTATTGCTGAACTGTAGACTCAACTTCTCTGACGAGAGAGACAATTGAATTATATTCCTTATCAGCTTCTCCAAGAGTTGCTTTGAATTGACTGTGAGCATCGATCAGGCCCTGGATTTCTTCCATCGTGTGCACAATGAACATGTCGACGAGATCTTCTCTAGTTCCATCTAGCCAGTTATTGAATGGCTACAAAAAAAAAGACAGATGAGTAAAGTATGTTCTAAGAAATTAACTTAAAATACAGAGATGAGAAAAAAAGTTTGATTGAAATCACATGAAAAGATGAATTCTTGTTGGCACTTGGCATTTCATGGAAAATTTACGATTCAAATTTTGAAATCGTATAAGACCCCAAAAATTTGCCTGATATATTTACAAAGAGCACACTTTGATTGAATTTTGCAAAAAGGAACCACAAGCATTCCAATGTCGCTAAGATTGTGCAACATTTTTCACCTTGTGAATAGAAACTGATCATCTAAACAAGTTTTATCTTTACTCCCAATAAACTATGATTTTCAGACAAAAATTACCTTCGTAAATTTAATTTTCTTAATGATATCTGTAATTTCTTGCAAAGATTCAAGTTGCACAATCTTAGAAGTGCTTGGATCCTTTTTGCAAAATCCAATCCACTTCATCCATCAGATCAAGAGGTTAAAAATTAGAATCATATTCTCTGACTAGAATATTAGATCTCTTGGATCTTTCTTCCACAGAAAAATGGAGAACTGAATCGGAAAAGTAATTAGAAGAGCTTTAAGCAAACCACTCAGTGTACTTCAAATGAAAAAAATTAGCCTGAGGGAAAATGTTTACTTACTGCAGCCCGTTTGGCGAATTCTAGGTGTAGGATATCTATCTTTTCCAGGACTTTTTCTGCTTCGTCTAGGGCTAATCTTCTGCGCTGAGTCAGATTACCCAGAGTATCCCACTGATCGCAAATACGTTGACACCTTGCATTGACCTTTACACTGTCATGGTACTCAAGTGTACTAAAAAATGAATCAGAAATATATATTAGGTGCTGATTGAGACAAGTTGTATTCTTCCTCCAACATCATTAACTAGAGAGGAATAGCGCATCACAATAATAAAAAAGCGAGCCCTACTGGCACGCTTAAAACAAAAAAGTGACAATCCTTTGAATTATTTTGGGAGATAATATTATTTCAGGATGACTCATCTTGATTGACTTTCATAATTAACCTGCTATAGTGTTTTGGGTAGGTATATATTTTTCCCAGAGCTGCAGCCCCCTCCCCCCCGATACTTAAAAAAACTCAGGGTTGCTTCCTCCAGTTAGGGCCATGTGATTCTGAGACAAAAGCTCATGTTCAACTCTGACGACAGCTATCCTCTCGGAAGCCTAGCAAAGCGTGCAACCGCATCCTAGTCAAAACAACCATTATGACGCTTGGGGGGCACTTCAATGCCAGTTGGATACAGCTGCATGGTAGACAACGTGTTAATTATCATTGATATGAAGTAACTTGCAGGTACGGATGACAAATAGCAAAAATACCAAAGGGTGCAGTTTAGACAAAGGGTCAAATAATCTAAAGAGACATTTCGCAGAAAATCAACTCAGGTCACCTGTTTCAGTTGAATCTTTGTCCCTCCATCATGAAATCACATCTCGTATCTGCCTCAGAATCTGGCGCATAATTTTGAGTGTGTAAATGTAGCATTATGGATGATGTAACATTGAACAGAAATGAGGAAAACACTCACTTGAGCTCTTGTGCAATAGCAGCAATTTGTTCGACTCTGTCTTGATGAGCGGCCAAATCACTTTCGAAGGCTTCGTGTTTCTTTTTCAGAGCCTTCAGTTCGTTCAATCGGCACTGTCGGAAATCTTGACTTTGGAGCATTTCTTCCTTTCCTCTTGTCCATTCTTCATGGATGTCTGCCTTGTGCTTGAATTTCTGAGCTAGATGTTCCAAACGTTCTAACCTGCGAGACAATGGAACATAAATGAAGCAATTTTTAGAGCTTATTTGTTCAGATAGGTTCACCCTACTTATCTCAATTTGCATGCTATTACATGAAAAATATAAATTCTGATATATTTGTTTACTTCCACATTTTTTAAACTTTATTATGAAAAGAAGCATGTTTAGATCAAATGCAACTGAACTCATTTATTTTGACTTAGGACTGAGCATTTAAAAATTGTCGAGTTCCAAATTAAAAAATTCTTTTTCCCTGGCTTTCCCTCATCCATTATGACATGACTTCACTGAAAACGTCAGAAATGATATCACCAATAACTGTGAATTAATATCAATTAGTTTAACACACATTGATCTTTTGAGTGTTGTGTGTCAAACACTGATCGGTTAAATTACACACAAGTTTAACAATGACATATATCTTGCATTGTATCAATGATGTATGTCATTGATGGCTTTTTGATGACTGCAGATTGCACCAATGACTCAACCAGCAAGTTAAACGCTGACATAGTGTATGACAAAAAGACAATGCTTCTTGAAAATGAGCTAATGATGAAACTTAAGAAATGAAATGAAAAAGGTCAAAGGAGGAAATTTGGAGGAATTTCCAAAAAGACTCTTATGAAAATCATCAAAAGATAGTGGATGACTCTTACCTCATCATTTCAGCTAACAGCCACTCCTCAAATGATTTTTCGGATGTCTCCAATCCCTTCCATGCGTTGGCAATATCCTGAAAAATTAAAGGACCATGAGAAAAATATCTTTTTTATAGAGGGACATGAATGGGGGTACTTCAATGAGGAAGCATTACACAAAAATGATTTTCAAAACTGAAACTCATTCAAGGAGAGTGACCAGTGAATAGTCATTAAAGAGCCGCTCATAAATTATAAAACTCTCTAGGAGAGGGGGTTAAGAAGAGCGTTAAACTATTTTTTTTTGAGAGTTAAAAGATAGGAGGCAGGGATTTAGAGCTGAGGTTTGAGGGAGCATCATAAACGGAGCCGCATCGGCGCGCGAGGCGGAGGCCCGGCGCGGACTTTCATGCCGCTTCGATCAGTGCGCCGGGGGAGCGCATATGCCGTTGAGGCGGCTTCACCTGGTGAAGCCGACTCCCGGCTCCTTTTCTGATGCTGCATCAGTTTTGATGCTGAGTCCAGCATCAAAATTAGCGGCTTCAATTAGCAGACGCGTCGGACGCCAGCGCCCCGGGCCCGGCTGCCGGTCGGCTAACACCCTTCCTCGGCGTCCACTTCTTAGAACTTCTCGGCGAGGCGTGGGCCGCCGCCAAGACAAAGGAGTGTTCCGCGAATTCATCGCCGAGTCCGAGGGTCGCGGTCTTCTGGGACAGCCCCGTCGGTAATTAAGCTGGGTGGCGGGTCCGAAAATTAAGGCCGTATCGGGCCGCAAGCCGACGGTCCGGCCTCAGAGGCAGCCCGCTGAGGCCCATGAGCCAGCATCAAACCTCAGCATCAGCGCTTGAGGCTGGCTCGGTCGGCTCTCCAGCATCGGGCTTCAATGCCCGAAGCCGGCGGCCGGCAGGTTGAGCGCATCAGGCTCGGAGCCGTATGCCCGAACGGCCGCTACCTGGGCATACGGCATTGATGCTGAAGCTACGAGTTGATGCTGTACAGCATAACCTCATGAGGCGCCTCAAATGCCTGATAGGAGCCTCCAAAAGCATTACAAAGGGGGAGGGTGGATCCAAAAATCTCAATTAGCGTTATGTATTTTACAAACGACCCCTAACAATGAGTAGAACAAATAAGTCTTCAGTTGGATTACCTACATATTAACACCCCACTATATAAACGATTGAGGCTGAGGTTTCTTGTAAAAGTTGCGAAAGCATCACTCAATGGTTTTTTTTAACCATTAGGAAAGAGGCATAATAAAGAATATTCAGGCAAAAACAAAGATATTCCCTGACAATTTACGGTCTCTTTTTTGTTAACAGTCACATGCGTGAAATATGTGATTCAATGAGGTTTTCTTTAAATATGTTGGGACAGTGACCTTTAGATACACCTGATGTAAAATTTCAATTATTTCATGATTATCCATTATGAACTTGTCAAATGTTTATCAGCGTTGAGTCATTTCAGGAACTGTAACATCAAAATTAGAGGCATACTTACTGAAACCATTTTTCCTTCGGTTGGCATGTAGGCAGGCCTATTTGAAAGCCGCAATTTTGTTTGAAGAGTGTTGAAGTTGGTTTCAAGCTTCGCTTTTTGTTCTACTCGTGGAGGTTTGTGAAGTCGTCGGTAAGTTCGGTATTCTTCTAACTTCTTTTGCACTCCAGACAAAGAATTATCTGTTTGACGACTCTGAAGCCAAGGAAGAGTGCGGCGAATCCATTCAAGGAGCTGTAAAAAGAGAAAATAATACAGTTCTTCCAAAAATAGGAACAAATATACTAAAGATGGGTACGGAACTACTTTATGAGTATATAAGACACTCAGTGCATACTGCCAGTGAACTAGAAAACGTAAAGAAAGGAGATTTTGTGCCTCATAGCAAAACTGTTCTTTAACCCAATTTCTTCTTTTTCCTTAATATTTTTCAAGAGACCTTATTCTTTACTTGGGTTAAACTTTATAATTTTTTCACCTCTTCACAGGTTGAAAATGTCGGCTTATCTTTTTACTTTGAAGTGAAAGCTTTCAGAGGGACCATAAAGTATTCAGGATCAAGAAAATAAGTGCAAATTCCATAACACTTTTTAAAGATTCATCAAGAGTTGATTAATTACAGGGATGAGTGCAGAGATCGCAGAAAGTACATTGATACTTACATCGCTAGCTAAGCGTTCATACTCTTCCATCAGGCGTTCATTTTCTTGATTAACTTTCAGAACTTTGCAAATTCTGTTTGCAGCAGTCTCAGCCTAGAAAATAAAGAAGAAAATGTAACACAATGATTCCGACATTTTCATTTCTTTGATATTATTTCAGTTGAACAGCCAAGCCATTCACATGGTATTAGAGATTCTTTTGATTTGATACTTCAGTCGAGGTAAAAACTTCTTTCACTGAGTAATACAAGTGAAAATCATTTAGTTGCATGAAAATATCTGCTTTAAATGAGTTATTTTTTTCCTCAACTTTTTTATATTTGCTTCTACCGAAAATTAAAAATATCTGAACTTAATTTCTTCACTTACCACAGAAAATGTAAAATAATTTAGGAGATAATGCTCAATCATCCACTGTTTGACAAATTAGATAGGAACATTGCATATTGATAGTTCTGTAAGGCTGTAAGTAACTAATAGAGGACATTGTGGATGCACATAAATAATAAAACTGCAGTCAAAAACTGAGATGAATACAGGGCGGTTCCGAATTAAAGGCAATCATTTCAGGAGTTGATTTTTCAGGGCAAAATACGACTTTTTTTACATATATTTGAGCCAAAACCCCTAACCCTCAAAGCCACAGGCCCAACTCCACTTTAATAACAATGAAGGGGGAAAACTAGCTTTAAATAGGTTTTTTTTTTTGGGGGGGGGGGAGTATCAACCTTTTAAATGGTCAAATTTCCTTCAGGAATGCGAAACGTTTTAAGTCTTCCCATTTTTTCTTAAAGCAGCCTCCTCATTTTGAAAACCCTTTTTCTCTCAGAAAGTTCAGAACTATGACCTTTTTGTGCTTTTCTTATATCGTTGCCATGATTTCGCAAAAAGTACACGTTTTATACCTCAATTATGACAAAAAGTCGCAACTCTGTTACGGACAGACGCCAGTCTTCCCATTATTGGAAGCAACTGCCCGCGCGCTCTATTTATGTGATCTAAAAGTTTTTGCACCTATGAAATAATTTATGAAAAATTAAAATACCTCCCAAAATGTTTCTCTATTTTCAGATGAAAAATGAGGAAAAAACTTACAATGACCATTAACAGCAAGTAGGTAATATAACTTATAAATGTAGCCATAATGTAAGAAAATCAATTATTTTCTTAAAATTTGCACGATATGTGGGTTATAGCTGTCTAGGTTTTGGAAGATATATTATTCTCCATCAAAGTCTTCTTTTGACACAAAGATATGTGGGTTATAGCTGTCTAGGTTTTGGAAGATATATTATTCTCCATCAAAGTCTTCTTTTGACACAAAGAATCAACTCCAAAAATCTTTGCCCTCACTCTTGAATCACCATCCTGTATAAAAACTTACAGGTCCCAGTCAAAATTGCTAAATTTTTGTGCCGTAATAATTAGACGGACAAAAGGGAAAAACCTACAATAAACTAAAAATCTTCAAAATGATACCTTTTTAGCTCCACAGAAGCAGTGGTAGTAGGATGAGACATAGGTCATTATGGCTCGCTCATCAGGCATTGCAGTGTTAGTCATATCTGCAAATCGTTAGTGAAAAATTATCACAACATGCAGTTTAGCAAATTGAAAACACACAGCTTGCAGCAAGCACACACATTTAGTTATAGTCGTGAAAATATCTTGCAGATTTATACAGGAACTCAATTTATTAGCTTATTTAGTTATTTCATAACTTTCATTATTTTCTTCCTTAAGGACTTGGAGTATGGGAGGATACTTGCAGTCGTATAGGTACATTTTTACTTTCTACAGGAATTAATTTCCAATTGCATTCTTTTACAAATGCATGATTCTTGTCCATATATTTTTTGACACATATGTACTTCTCAGAGTTACGTCATTCTTTCAAATTTTTGCCGCTGACTTTGTACATTAAGATTATCGGCGAAATATTACAAATCAGAAATTTTCAATCATAATAGTGGGATTTTTTTGTGTGTAAGCAAATTACCATCCAGTATAAATATGTTCCCAGGGGAATCCTCCCTACCCCTCCCCCCATGACATTTGGTTTTTGTTTGCAAAACTTTAAGAGAAACTTATTGGTACTATATTTCTAGAACGAAATGTTCCAGAATATAAGAAAAAACACAGGACAGAAAAAATCATAATTTTAAAGACTGAGAATATGAAGAATGAAAGAAAAAAATGCAGAAAACAGATAAAGAGAGAGAGAAAGAGAAAAATGTTACGAGGCAAAGAAAATGAAGTAAAAGAATATGATAGAAAAAAAAGTTTGGAAAAATAGGGTAAAGAATCAAATATAATGATAAAGAGTTAGAGAAAGCAGAGAAAAAAGGTTGTTTGATGGAGAGTTAAAGAAAGCAGAGAAAAAAGGTTGTTGGATTTTGAAAAAGGGAAAACGAAAAAAAGAAAATATTAGAGAAATAAAGTGACTAAGAAAACTTAAAAATAAATTAAATCGACTGCAACTGATCGATTTAAACCAATCAAAGAAATTTCACTAATTCCATTTTTAATGCACTGAGTAGTTGTACATATTACAGTAAGATTCAAAGGTGTGCTATCTGTGAATCTACAAGGAAATTGATTAAAATATTGGCACTTCGCCTTTCATCCTTGAGCTTCGACCTAATTCTGGAGTTGAATGGAGCGGGGAAAAGTTAGATCAAACAGTCAAAAAATAACTTGAAAACTCATAAGCGCCAAAATGCAATCAAGGATAACCCGTTCATGACCAAAAGTTTACCTGCTGAGCACCCTGGAAAGCGTGATAGTAGCAAGAGACGTAGGTCATGATAGCACGCTCATCAGGCTTTGGTGTGTTGATCAGATCTAGCAAGTAATAGTGGTTCTATTTTAATTTTGAACTTTGTTAAAAATGATGAACAAATCAAGATCCAAAGAAAATAGAGTAACGTTTCATTTTTAACAAAGGAAAAAGTTATAAGTCATACGTTAAATTTATCAAGAACTATTTCTTGGTTACAATAATTTTAAAATTAAGGAAGAATTACTTCAGACAAATAGATTTCATTTCCACAGGCCATCATTCAGAGCACCAGTTCATTTTACTGATTTATTAATATATCAGGGATGTGGTAAGTTCTAAAAAGCGGGCCTTTACTGGAAATTTTGACTTTCTATGCACTTTTTTAATACTAGCTTTTACTTACTTAATAGTTATGTGCTGTCAGTTGTAACACACATTCCAATTATGCTGATTTATTACCTAAAATTGACAGGAAGAGCTTAAGGACAAAATATATTGGACACTTAGGGTCGCTTTTTGGGCTCAAATACTCATGAAAACTCCTCAGAGCAGTGCTACCAACATTTCAATTTTACAATTTTTAGCACTACCGTCCCTTCACCTGTTGATGGTTACATTTCTGTAAATTTGACAATCATCAGAGGCCTATTGGAGTATGATAACATTTTCGATTTCCGAATGCGTTACAAATACAGAAGTGGAAAAATAGAAAATGAGATAAGGAAAGAAAAAAACAAACCTTCAGGATCCAACATGCGGGGTATGTCGAGGAATTTCTCGGCGACATCGAAAGCTGTGTTGAGATTTTGTAGAGGGTTGTCTTTGGACAGCTTATTGTAATCGATTAAATCGGGTCGGTGTCGATGAATCAAAGCGCAGAAAGCAAGACCATCCTTAAAACTAGAAAATAAAAGAAATTTCATTAATTTTTCACCCATATTGAATTTTCAGCAGTAAAAAGAAAATTATGATCCTATTATTGAGGTCAACGAAATGAGAGAGGCTAACTCCTCACTTATTCACCTTTATGTACACAAGAAATGAAAGAATAATTAATTCAGCTCATATTATAATAATACTGGTTTTATTTTGCCACAAGCAATATTTATTTTTTTTGTTGCTTAAATCAATGGTATAGAAAAAGAGTTCCAGACTAATAGTGATTCAAGTTTTCGTGGCAAAATTGATAGTTCATTCTGAAAATCGTAGAAAGTACTAAAAAAGATTGAGTCGAGAAGGGATTTAATTTATTTTTTTCATTCATTTAATAAGTAAACGGTGCAATATTTTAAACCTAAACCATGATGTTCATTTGGAGATCATAGATGGAGATTTCCTCTGGTTTGCATTAAAGTTTTTTGGAAATCATGCTTAAAATTTTTACAAAATATTTTACGAGCAGAGAAAAAAATGTCGAGTCTCCAAGAAATGACCCTTGAATAACTTTTTTAAACACTAAAATAGGACAGGGAGTATGCAATTTTGCAAATGAAGATACGTCGTTGTATCAAGTCTCGCCATTAATAAACACTTTGGTGATCTTTGCAGTGGCGTGGCGTGAATTGCGATATACCGATTGTTGTGCCATTTAAACCTATGGTAAAGAATCGATTATTAAGGTGTTCGCTGCGAACACCCTGTTTATCGATCCTTTTCCTTAGGTTTAAATGGCATAACAATCGATACATCGCAATGGAGTATTTGCACGCAATTTTTTTATTGCTTCATCTGAAAGTGCCTAATGAGCTGAGTTCGCAACATTTTTCATAATTTTTTTCTGACATGGGAAATTGGAGAAAAATTGATTTAAAAGTGAGAAAATGTGCCGCCTTGTGACGTCATCTGGCGGCATTTCCCATTTAAACACACGTATTTTAGCAGAATCGGTTATTTTGTCATACCTCCTCTAATAATTGCTCAATTTATGAATCAAGGGTATCTTCGTGTTCAGTTCACTCAGAGGATTCCACTTAAACAGGAAATTCATCAAATTTCAGACCCTTGCAAATTCTCCATTCATGCCACGCCACTAATTAGGATAAACAGATGCCACTTCAATAACTGTAATAGGGACCCAGATTCTCAAATTGAAAGATGGCGAATAGGTAAAGCAGATGAAAGATTCTCACCTGAGATGGAAGTTCTGTACATTGACATTCTTGTACGGAGCTGTTTTACGCTGGCACCATAACAGTAGACCCTCCTTTGCAGTCATTTCCTCAACAGAAATGTCTTGGATGGCAAATCTAAGGATGATGGTCCAAATCATTCCTAACGTCATTTTCAGGTTTCCATCGACAATTTCTAGAAAAAATCAAAAATCTCCCATTAAAAAAATCTTGTGAAAAATACACACAGAAAAAAATACAGAACCATTACGTTGGCATTCACGGAGCTTCGAAAGAAAGCAATGGACCACTAGACAAGGTACGAATTTCAGCATTCTGATACACGTGTCTTCGCCAAAATTTCACGTAAAACACGATGCGCACAACAAAAATTACCGAAATCGTCTAATTCCGAAGATATTTAATGATTCCTGATGCGTCAATTCAAACCACCCGCTCATGAAAACTCAATGCTCTACGTGATTCACATCGCGCGCTAAACGTTATCATGAACGTCTCTGCGATTTAAAAATCTGGCAACCTCTATCTTGACACTTTGGCTCAGCCATAGCAAATTACATATAATTTGAAAAGCACATGGTGGAAAATGAGCATTGCTCGATTGAGAAGCTTGCTGAAATCGTTGTAGTGCGCGATTAGACTCACGTAGAGCTTTGAGTTTCTTGTGAGCGGGCAGTTCAAATTCCTCGTAACCAATGTGAAATAAAAATATGATTATCTCCGTTAGGAGTTAATTCCAGTAATTTTCGTTGCGTGAATCGTGTTCTACGTGAAATTCTGGTTAAGACACATGTATCAGAATGCTTAAATTCGTCCCTTGTCTAGTGGTCCATTGCAAATTTTTTTCACTTAATCAATAGCGGCGATGTACGTAAATTTCTATTGTAAGGAGAGTAGAGAGTTTACGATACATTCCAGAGATTTTTGGGGGAGGAGAATACCCTACCACTTAACGATAAATGGAGGAGTACTCCACTATAAATTTACTGCAAATTAACCTGATTTTGAATAAGATTACAAGAATTTTTAGGGCAAAATGTATCTTATTTAAAACAAACATTTGCCATTGAATGTGATTGATTATTCTAGTTTCGCAGGAAAACCTCTTTTTTTGCTTTTTTGTGAGATACTAAGCTGGTTGAAATCGGAACTCCTTGGAGTTGTCGGAACTATATTCAAAGATCTTCACGATTTCAAAAGACGGTTTTCCATTACCTAAAGGGACTTAGGATGATCTAGTTACCTTCTGCACCAATGGAAACGAGTTTGACTCCTTTGCTGGCGATGAAGTCTAGCGCTTTGTTGACGTTGGCGATTTTGTGGAACCTCATCTTGCCTCTGTCGGGCTTTGGTAGGGTTTCGCCGGAGATGACCTCCAGCAAGAGCATGAGCTTCAGCCCATTTCGAAAATCTTCTTCGATATTTTCTATCGCCGTGCCGGCTTTTCGAAGATGCGAGTTGCACCATGCTGTGAAAGTCTGAAAACAAACAAAAAACCCACAAATTAAGAAGTTTTATCTTGCTGGCAAAAGATGAGAATTCAATAGACACAAAAAAACCAATTGGTTTCATAAATTTAGTTTTCGGAGAGCAGCTTCAACAGGCGTTGAGGAATTTCGAGGAAAATATTTCGGATTTCTTCTTAGCCTTTGAACTCGCTCTCAGGGCCGGATTAAGGGGGTGGCCACATGGGTCGCGGCCCATGGCGGCAAATCTGGAGGGCGGAAAATTTTGCAATTCTTTCAATTGTAGGTATAAAAAAATATCGGATTTAGAAAAAAAATTACAAACAAGAAAAGGCGACAAAATCTCTCATTTCCTGAGAGGGTAGTAATTTTTAATTTTTTCGTCTTTCAGTGATACAAGAGACAGCACCTTTAATTAGTCGAGTTAAGAGAGAAACCAAACACGCAATTTGGCCTGGAACGGCGCGGCGCAGAGAGGAATGATGACGAGGACTCGAGATGAAAAGGAGAAGCCATCGGCGCGGCGATCGGCATGTGACACATATCAGCGCCTACAAGACTGCACGAATACTTCACGCATTGCATTAAACACAGTGCGTTCGTTGGATCATTGCGGTCAACGTGAAACGGATAGCGCCTACAAGGATGCATGCATACTTCACGCATTGCGCCAAACACAGTGCGGTCTGCGCGGCGCGGCGGAAGTTAAAATCATTAAACCACATTCATGAAGTTAGCGTTAGTTCAGTTGCGTTGTTTGTTCTTTCATAATTTTTCCGTTCATTTCTTATGAATGGAAGGCCTCGTCCACACAGAGATAGGTTTACAAAACTTAACTTTTGCTAGTAGTGTTGACAGGGCATCCCCAAAAAATGTGTTCAACACGAGTAAACGCGTCTTATGTACCCCTCCCCCGCTGGCACGTTCACTTGGTGGTTTTCATTGATGTTTCAATACGAATGAGAAGGGGGCGGCAAAATACAGGCGGCCCATGGGCGGCAAGTAGGTAAATCCGGCCCTGATGATGAGGATAAAAAAATCGAGAACAGTAGGCAGAGACAGTACCGAGCACTTAAATAAGGGAACAGCGGTCCCGAATCTTGAAGCATATGAGAGGAATGTTCATAAATCCAATAGACACGGAAAAACCAACTGATTTCATAAATGTATTTTTCGGAGAGCAGCTTCAACAGGCGTCTGAAGAATTTCGAGGAAAATATTTTGGACTTTTTTCTCAGCCTTTGAACTCGCTCCCAGACTTCTGAGCCTATCGTGCCAAAATGTCCTACGTAATAGTGCTTATGTGAACATGTCCAGCAAACAATTTGTACACTATGAGTAAATGCCTGCGCTACAAAATTTCAAGTATGATAGCAAGTCCTTCAACAGCAAATTTCCGCAGTATTTCTACCCGTCAAAAAATTTTCAAAATAAGAAGTATCAAAGAATAGCAAAAACATCTACAAACACGCAAAATAATTGATAAAATTTGATTTGATTCAATAAGATGAACGAGCATAAAATTTAATTTTTATGATGGGAGATTTGCCGTTGGAGGACTTTTTATCACGCTGGACATTTGTAATGCAGACCTTCACTGACGGTGGACACATTTTTAATCGAACATGCATGGGCGTTGTTATAACGCCCGTTATATAACTTTGTATAACATTCTTAAGTAAAATTTTCATTGTTAAATGAAAATTTTACTTAAGAAATTTTAACGAGCGGACATTTATGACTGGATATTTTCATGAGGTCACCGGACTTTCCAAATCCGTACATCGGGATCGCGATATCCTGATTAGTGATATCACAGCTATTTTCGCAGCGGCTCAGTCGATAAGAAGAAAATAAACAATGTGACATGACAAAGGAGACAAGAGAACCTCGTTTTGCATCCAGGAGGAATAATCATCCAGGAAGATCGCTCCTGAGTCAGGCGTTATAAAACCGCATCACATTGTTTTCTGCCCGCGCTAATTGCCCGATTGCGGTGATCCGGAGGACTGCGCGATTCGTGATTCGCGAAAACCGCGGATCAACGATCGCTTTCCATGGGAGTTGCGTTGTTCTTGCAAGACTCGCGTCCAGCCGGACATCGTGCAATACATACTGCCAATAGTCAATCGCTGGCGAAATTGCGTAACGAATCGCCGCGCGATTGCGCTCTCCGCAGTGCGGTTGTGTGCTGCTGCCTCGAGAAGAGAAGACACGAGTATCGTTCTGCCGTGCTAAGGAAGAACGCCGTATGAACACTCGAGAGTTGCCAAATTTTCACCTGTAAAGTGTTTATTTTTGAAGAAAATTAAAGTTATTTTTCCTTGAAATTTTCAGAATTTGTAGATCAAATTGCAAGCAAAAATATCTGAGAAATTGGAAGAGAAATATTCACAAATTGTCTTGAAAATTAGCGATTTGTCAAAGGAAATTTGGCAACGCCTGAAGGTTCATACGGCGTTTTTCCTTAGCACGGCAGCGTTGCTCCTGACGTTCCATCGAGCTCAGTTCGTTTCCCATCGGATCGAAGAAGTCGGCAACTTAACATTCATTCAGATGGACAACAGGACTTAAAAACCAAAATTCCTCCGCTTTACCCACACTTGAGTCCCTTTATACTGAGAGTCAAGACAATGTGAATCCATTTCTGATTGGTTCCCGTATTTTAGGCCTCCACAGTGTCACAAACGGGAATAAAGATTACATTTTCACCGATTGCAAAGAATATAATCTGGAATGGACCACGGAATTACGGGTTCGGCAAGGAACAAACGGAATGAGAGAAGGAACGGAGAAAGGAATTTGAGAATGGCCCGATCAAAGATTACGAAAAATGTTCAATTTCTGTAATCTTTATTCCCGTTTGTTACTCCATGAGGGGGTGTTGTCTAGACTCTCAGTTTAAGGCCTTGTCTCCACGAGCCGTTTCACGAGATTTGTCCCAGGGAAAAATCCCACTTACGAAGTTGTTACCAGTACCAAGTATGGTACTTGTATCCCTAGGACTCACTGAGAGAAGAAGAAGAAGTGAAAACGAATTGTGCGATATTTTATTCATTAGGTACTACATTGTTCATGTTTGTTTAGTTAAAATAATGTGTCTAACTGTCAATTGAGTGCAATTATTATTTTAATTCCGGTTTAAATGCTCGACTTTAACTAATTTATCTTCCCGCGCAAACTAGTCGCATGGACTGTATGAGCCCCGTCCCGTGGAGACGGTAACTGGGAAAAATCCCAGAAGTTTCATTCCTGCGATTCGAACTTGGGACAAATCCCATGAAAACGTCCCGTTAAGACAAGGCCTAAAGGGACTCTAACCCACACTAACTGGATGACTTTCTTTGGTTACGAAAGAATCCTCGACTAATTTTGACGATCTCTTTCTAGGAGAGATGAGCCTACCGCTCAGTGCGCGGTCTCTGTCTGTTCTCCGAATGAAAAAAAAAATTCCCGTAAATTTATTCCCAAACTTTCAAGGTTTTCATATTAAAACTGTACTATCCACGAGGGGCTGATTGCGCGTTCCCTATCTATGAGGGGCTGACCAGCCGTTCCCTATTATCTAAAAAGAGCTGATTAGCCCTTTACTAGCAGGGCTCTCCTCCAGAGAGTCTAAACACAAAAGGAGGCTTAATGAACTCAGTGCAAATCAGATTGTTGCACTTTAAGGCTGTCAATTGATCGTTGCATGAAGTCATGTTGGTGAAAAAGCTTTCGTTTTCTAGGCAGTGAGAATTTCGTTAAGCGTGGGATCGAATTCCGCTGGGGAGCTATGTCGTGAGAACCGATTTCTGCTGACGATTTCAGAACGGCGAAAAAGAAATTCAAAACAACGCCTCGTTAAATTTTGCCATCTCTGATTTTTTCTCTCCTGTCTGTCTACCTCCGAACTATCTTGGTCAATGGGCTGCATTCAAAAGAGAGAAACCAGGCCAACTATTTTCGGGGGAAAAAAGAAAGTTAGGAGTAGTTTTGAGCGTATAAATTGGCCCCTTATTTTCCTAAAAGTCGAGACAGAATATTTGGAGTGTGAAAAATATCTCTGATATCGATTCTCACGGAAAAATATAAAACTTTAGATTCATTTTTCTCGGTTCATCGATCAATCATCATCAATCATGATGTGACTTGTTTCTTTCCTGTTTAACTTTGTACAAATCTCAAAAAAGAGAGGGGATGTCGTTACGTCACGGGATTTTCAGAAGAGGAGTGTGAGAGCGAACGTTTTAGAAATCCTACGGTTTTTTTCTAGTGGTGTTTGGAATTTCTAAACGGAAAACCGCCGTATTGATCGATCTATCTTCTGATTACATAGGCCTGATTTGGAACTGATAGAAAATGAAAACTGGAAACTGTCAAGAAAATGATCGACTCAGAGATTGAAATCGACGTACTATCATTGATGAAATTTCCGGGCATTAAAAGCCTAACTTCGGTTCAAATAACCCGACTCTTCGGCAAAGTATAAAATTTAAGATATAATGTATAATAAATAATAACAACTTCCGTTACCTGAACCGAAGCTACGATACTCAAACCAAAATTATATTACCTGAACCGAAGTTACGATACCTAAACCGAAGTTATGATACCTGAACCGAAATTAAAATACCTGAATCGAAGTTCCCTGGTAAAAATTGGCAGTAGAATGTGTGTTCCAAAATACTATAGACCTAAAGCCGGCTGTAAGATTTCCAATAGCTTCTGTAGCCGGCTGTACAATTTCTTATAGCCTTTTATAGCCGATGGCGATTAAGCAACAGCCAGACGATAAAGTTTATGCTAAACGTTACTAAATACGGATACTGGGACTTAGTTAGTTTTTGAACTACCGCTCTCTTTTTGTGACGTAGTATCTTGATTTATTTTGCGAGGAAAGCTCCGTAAATTTGAAGGATGACTGTCATTCTTGATATGTTGGAGCGCCTTCAATTTCTTATGATACTGTGCAATACCTCTGGTGTGAAATAGTTGCTTCAGACGCCGTGGCACGCTGCGGCGCGGCGGGC